TTATTGGGCAGTCTAGTTGCTACCCGATGAGCGCAAGGCGGTCCGGGCGCTTCAGTGGGCTCCAGCTGGTCACCTGGCAGTAACCCGCGGTGGTAATAAACCATGCTGAGCTAAACCTCAAAGCAATGACCTCTCCACCGCGGCGCCGTCCCCTCGTAGCCAGATCACCCCATTCCCCAGCAAAACATGTGTAGTTGCCAACCCTTTGCGGCCGGTTTAGGGACACCCATTTCCCTCTTACACACAACTGGGTAGGCCTAGTTGCAGCTGGCTGCGCCTGCTTTCAGACAACGTGGGATAAGGCGCGGAGTCCGTTGATCACCGCATCATCCCCTTCTGGGTGTTTCCGTCGCGTGCCATTCTTATCGCCTTCATCATAGCCATTACTTCGTTCTCCTCCGGACCTCCTCCAACTCCGCCGTGCACTTCATCCCGCTCGGCCATCTCTTCACTGTTACTGACGCCCGATGTGCCAGTAACACTGTGTTCTCTGATTTCCTTCCTTATTAAACTGGGTCCAAATGTATTGTATATTGTTATTTTTGACGTCCCTATTCCCCAACAAACGACGTTCTGACTTGTGCTTGCTTGCACAGTTATCGGGCGATCTTGCGTTGTCTGAAGTTAGCGCCTTGCTCCCAGCTAATCTTTGTGGGCTGAACACAACTCAGTTATCCCCTTTGATTCCTATTACTAGCCCTGCCCATCCAGCCCAACACGGAGATGGGTGCCGCCACAGCTGAGGTGGAAACCGCCATGGCTGCCGAAGGCGCCGAAGCAGGGGAACAGGATGGGCAGCCAGGGGCAATGCAGCTGCTGCAGCCAGGGATGGCGCTGGCGTCAGGCAGCGGGCTGCAGCAGGTAAGTGGACATGTCAGGCTGCAAGCCACGGGGTTGTACAGGTGCCAGGGTGACAGCCGAGCCCCTGAACAGGAGCTGGGTTGCCTGTCGTACACACACATATGTTAGGGTACGGCACATGGTGCAAGTCATGTTGTGTGATGGCCAGCTCATGAAAACCCAGTCGCCTGCCTTTGTTCATGCTGGGCACAAAGCCACCCCTGAGCCTTGCTTTCAGTTACTCGCGGCCCGCCCCCACCCTTGCCATGTCCCTCTTTCCTCCGTTCTGCCCTGCCCATCCAGCCCAACACGGAGATGGGTGCCACCACCGCTGAGGTGGACACTGCCATGGCTGCCGAAGGCGCCGAAGCAGGGGAACAGGATGGGCGGCTGGGGGCAATGCAGCTGCTGCAGCCAGGGATGGCGCTGGCGTCAGGCAGCGGGCTGCAGCAGGTAAGTGGACATGTCAGGCTGCAAGCCACGGGTTTGTACAGGTGCCAGGGTGACAGCCGAGCCCCTGAACAGGAGCTGGGTTGCCTGTCGTACACGCACATATGTTAGGGTACGGCACATGGTGCAAGTCATGTTGCATGATGGCCAGCTCACGAAACCATATTATTTTCATCCATATAATTCATCCATATGCAGTTTCCTAAAATCTCAGGTCCGGAAAGTGTCCAGGGTTCATCAAGGACCGAATTTCTTCAGCATTCCAATCTAAGCTTGGATGAGGAGCGTGCTATTCGTATAGCCAAACAAATGGAATTCCTTGCAAAGCTAGGACTTCAAGACATTGTTGACAATATCCGGTCGCCTCGCTCGCCTATCAGACGACAGAGTACCCACTCAGCTCCATTGGAGACTCGCAGATCCACTAGGCTTACTGTCTTATCATCAAAGCTTAGCAAGCAACAAGTGAAGGTATGTGGTGTTCCAACGGGTGGTTAAAGATACCTAGGCGGCGGACCCTACTTTAGGGTTCTCATTTCCTTCCTCTGTGAAAGATCTCAGTTCATAAATATTTACAATGTTTATTGTCATATTGGGTTTAACAATATTCTCTGCTGCAGATGCCGACCCATGCTGCAGAAGCGGCTGTCGTCGAGGACACTGCTGCAGTGGTGGTGAATCACGATCCTGAGATGCATCTTAAAATTTTCTCAGACCAACACAAAACTTGGGCGGAGATGCACAACCTGGACTTGAAGGCCGACGAGGGCCAGCTCCTTGCGGCCATCCTCCAGTGGCCTGAGCAGTATAAACTCTACTGTGGGAGTGAGGGCTCCTTTCATCACTCCTTTGCAGTATGTGGAATTCTGGTGGCGAATGGCATGTATGCCCCAGACTTTAACAACCCCAAGCTGCAGGCTATCAACCACTTCACTGAGGACATGAAGTCTGCCCTGCTGTCTGGGGGGCTGAAGCAGTTTGAGCTTGCACTCCTTCTTGCGGGTCTGAATG